AGCTGACATCATAGGCCAAAGGAGGACAGTGATGATTAAATCAACTCATCACAGCTACTTTCCAGCTTTCTTATTACTTGGGGAATAAAGTGTGACTGCAGGAAACGTTGGCTATAAATGCTCCCCGGTGGTTCTAGCCTGTGCACATTAAGTAGGGTCTGGTCTGGTCTGGCTTGGAATCACAGTAAAATGAAAGTTTTACAAGAATTGATTTTCCAGAAAGAAGATAAACATGCTCACAAAGGAGCCCACCCGAAGAGAAGTAACTTCTCATAATAAAACGGTGATAAGGCCCAGAAAAAATGCTTAAGTCATTAATTTTAATAAAAAGCTTTGGTGTAATTATAAATCATTGTGAAAATATCAGTGCCCGGGATTTACATGAAGCCGTATGTACGTATCCCAGTGGTTCACAACCAGCAGGGTATTTCAGAACCACCACTGTCCCTCATCAAGACCAAGTTTATTCTCAAAGGAAATTGCTTCAGGACTCGTGGCTACAGTGGTGGGACATGAGAAATTCCTACACAAAAGGTGACTGACAACCACCTGGAAGGGAGCTACAACCAGTGGGGAAACCACAAGCTTGGCGTCAGCAGGGCTGCTTCCAGCCTCGGTGTCTCTGGGGAAGGAAGCTCGGTGGTCGGGAATACAGACACAGCTAGCTTTTACAGGAACGCTGGGTACCGAATGAGCTTGGTGCTGTATGGATTTATTATCGATGCAGAAAGCGTAAAGTTTAAAGAGATAAGTAAAATTAAAAAAAAAAAAACCTGCAACTCTGGACTAGTCATTACCTTTTTAAGGCTGTTTTCTCATTTGTGAAACTTGCCTCTCAGGATGGCTGTGAAGATTCCATAAAATCTGACATTTGAAAATGCTTTGCAAGTTGTAAAATATAAACCAGTATAAAAAACCATCTTTAACAAGAAAACGAGAGAGAAGTGCACTATGTAAAGGAGAACAATTGAGGTGACTCCCGGGGTACACACAGAGCAGCCAGTGGAGACTCCTTCGCCAGCACACAGCAGGGGGGACCAGTTACGAGTGAGGCTTGGAAACCAGAGAATCACCACGCTGGCTAGGGGGTAACCTCAGGTGACCTGGACAACTCTCTGTGCTCCCATTCCCATCTCATCAGAAGGATGAGAACAATATTACGTCCCAGGGAGATCGGGAAGCTTACGTGGCATCGTCCGTTTGCTTGGCAAAGTCCTGGAACACAGTGAATCTTGATAAATGTTGGCTAATTCATTTGAAAAGCAAAAAATACCTCAGCACCACACCATCCTAGACGGTACCTGAGCCAAATCTAAATCTAAAGCCTGGGGCAAGATGGAAATCTCTGAAGGACGTATTCCACACTGGTGGAAGTTTCCGGTGTAGCCATCAATTAACTTATGTAAAATTCACTCACTTCTTCTGTTTTCAAATAACATGGTGCATGTCCGCAAACGTCAAAAGGGAAGAAACAACCAGCTGCAACTTCCCAGAACACAGAACACTCAGTGCGACAGGCAGCAGGGCTGCACCGCTGCTGCTCTGCCCTCCCTGTGAGCGCGGACTCTCCAGCCTTACCCCCCTGCAAACGGCTTCTTTAAATACCTAGGAAGTGGCACTGGGCAGGGTTTCCCCATACCCATCATTAGAACCACCTGGGACGCTTGTTACAACTCCAGATTCCCATCCCTCCCACAGAAGCCCTGGATCTGCACCTCCAGGGAGAGCCCTGAGACTGTGCACCCCAAAAGGGGCCTCTGTTTGGGCCCGTTGGGGATACAGTGCACACAGCGGCCTGGCCTAGCAGACTACGAGAGACTAGCCATTATTTGGTTACCACTTTCCTCTCCTTTCCAATCCCTAGTCTCACTGCTTCTGAAACCATCCTCTTCAGGTTCCTAGAGAAAGGCACACAGTAATTAACCTTAATGGCAGGAGGATTGTTTTCACCTGAAGACGACCAATGGATTGAATACAAATTGTGTTGATGGAAACAGCATTTAATTATCTAAGCCAATGTGCAAATCTGGTTTACAATGCCTGTAGGCATTTTGATAATTCGTCGCTGATCCAAAGGATAAAAGGAACCAGCCCCAGTGTGCTGGGAAGCACTGAGTGCTTCCCCATCTCACCCTTGGCTCACTTCCCAGCCTTCTTTCTCCCGGGTTCCCTCCTGCCTCTGGGAGGGAAATTAAGTTTTTTTCCTCCTTCATCATAAAAGCCTTACTGCAGATGCTGGAGAACTCAGTGAGAGAATCTTACCTTTGCTTCCCACCTTGCTGCAGGCGTAAGGAAGATAAAGAAAAGCAAGGTTGCAATATCTAAGGAGCTGAGAGGTGCCCTTGGCCCAAACCCAATGTCCTGAGTGAGACATTAAAGAACGACAAGCCCCAGCACAGAGGCTAACAGACTGCCTCGGGCACCAGCTCTGCTGTCCATCCAAACACTCACCCAAAACCTCCCAGAGTATCTTATGTATTTAAGGCCCCAGGCACGTGCTAGAAGAAATCCAATTCATGTTCACACAAAGTCTCTGCACTGCTTACAGGACCTTACAGTCCAGCCAGGGCTGAAACATTCGTAAAAAGGAAGGGTAAGTGCAAATAGGTTACAGAGGTTTGGAGGAGGGAGAAACATCATTTTCCACTAAACGCATGGCAAAACATCTTGGAGAAATGTATCTTGTTTTACCAGAAGGAATGTTCTGTGTCATTCTCAGTTGTGATGGTTCTAAATGAATTCTTAGACAAGAGACTTGACAATTAGCTAAGAACAAGCCTGGGGACTCATCCAGGTTTTCTAATTTGAAGTCAGTTAATGTATATTTAACACCTACTACATTCTAGGCACATTTTGGGCACTGAGATACAGGATGAAAAAGACTGAATCACTGCCTTCAAAAAGCTCCTTCTAAGGTTAACTTCATTATGCGTCACCACAGGAGGAACGAAGGCACACAACAGAGACAACGCTTGGAAATACAGGTGACATCAAAGCCGAGGGGGTGTGTGTACGATCAGGAGGATGGGTCAAAGGATCCACCAGTTACAAGATTACTGAAATTTCTTTGTCATGAAGTTATAGGCGGCGTGTTCTGATTGTGGGTCGCAATTTAAGCAATGTTAATACGCACACACGTACAAAATCACAGAACTTGATAGAAAAGGACAGGTTTAAGATTCAAGCTCAGGTCTACTGATTTTAGATCCTATTCTCATTCCAAACCAAGCACAGGGCAGAAAACCATGAAATTAAGAGACTTTTCAAAGGAGTAAAACAAAAGAAAAAATGTTCAACTAAGACATCTTCTAAGAAGCTTTCTCAATCTGTATACAGCTTCCAGGACACTAACAACCCTTTAATATCTTTTTCCTCTCTGAATTTTTTGTCCATGTATACTGCCTTGTTATTTAGGTCATAAAGTACTCCAGTAAAGGCACAGGCTTTTCTATTTTTTGTGTTATTCCCCGAGTACTTATTACGGTGTTTTTTTTTTTTTTCACTATCTCTTAAATCATACTGATTGGCAAATTGAAAATTTGTCCTTCTGAAAATTTATATGCTATGACCCCTTGGCAAAAGTAAACACCAGTTTTTAGACATTAATAGACCAATTACACATACAGTGATACATTTCAAATTCTCTGAATTTATACCTGACCCAAAAGTCTTCAACATTTTTCCATTTCGCAATTCTGAAATATTTTGTTTTTCAAAATTTGATTCACAGACTAGCTCAGCTCATGATACACATGAGTACTGTGTATCAGCAGCAAACCAGCCATTATTTTCTGCAAAATCCATTATTTCAAAAACAAAGGTAGTTATAATCCTTTGACAAGTACAGCCAAGTTTCATCTATGTGGGAGCAATATAAATCATGCTTGTGAATAATCAGGGACTTCTTATTTTTTTCTTTTCTTTGTGTATCAGCTATAAAGTTATTTTTCTCCTTTGTAGGAGAACTCCAGTGTGCATACATCTCTTGAGTTGTAGTAAATCTGTGAGTCAAATTAGAGTATATTATTTTAAGAATGAGTTGTATCATACAGCAAATAACTTTTTAAACTACCTAGTATGGAGACTTCCATCATATAAAGGAGTGTATCATACATTATCTAATGCAGAAAGCTAACGCGTCTAGGGCAAAGAAGTACTCTACTAATAAGCCAGTTGCTATTTAGGCTCCTGATTAGAGAAGACTTGGGGAGGAAATCATACTTGTACTAAGCATCCTAGAGTTTAAATAAAGCCTGAAGTTCTGAGCGGAGGTTAAAATCTGAGCACATAAAATAATTAGCAAATTTATGACAGGTCTGATTAAAGTTTATTTCTAATCATGATGAGTTAACTTCGCAAGATTTCATGGTTAAAATTAGCGATTAATGTAAAAAAACAGTGGCTGCCTCATTGGATAATGATGTGGAATAAAGCAGCCAAGTCACTTTTAACATCTTGCATTTAAACCATCATTTATGGTTTCTTACAAGCCATGCAGGGCCAAATCTGGAATCATTTTTTTCCTTTGTAATATAATTGATCAAAGCTGTGAGAAGGGCCGCCTTAGTAAGAAGACCGTCCTACCCACAAATGTAATCACCAAATGGCCACTATTTCGTAAATTACTTCCAAAATATCACCATTTCCTGATTCTCTGTAGCAGATAATGAAAGGCACCAAAATATCTACCTTGCTTCCAAACTGGACAGGCAGCAAACATAACAGAAATAAAGTCAAGGGGAAGAAAAAAACCAACCAGGTAATGTTGCTACCATCAGGAGACTAAAAATAGCTTGGCTAGAGAAGTTTCTTTTCACTTTGAACACAGTTTGATTAATCAGAGTGCTAAGAAAATGTCAGCTCCATGGGGATTTGGGGAATGTGTACAGTTTTTGAAATAAACCACATGGCTAAAAATCAATGCAAGGCCTTGCAGCTGAACCTAGCTGAAGGCCATTGTCCTGATGTGGTCTTCGGGAGTCCCTGCCTGCCTCACCCACCAGCTCCTTCCTTGAGCCAGGTGTTTCCAATTTTATGCTTAGTTTAAATGCCCATGCTGGGGTTGCTTCCTGCTGACAAGGGACCACAGAACAGCTCCGACACAAAGGGACTGCTAAGGCTCCCTAACAAGACATGCTGTTTGTAAGCAGTGCATGCTTTTTGGTCAGATTTCTGCTTGGATCGTGGGCTCCTTACAGTCTCGCTCCATTGCTAGGTTCAAACTTTTCAGTTCATCTACCCTATACCTCACAGCTGCTGTTTATTTAAATCTTTGACAGTTTATTTTCCATCTTTGACCCAGGTTTTGGGTTTTTGCCCATTGTCTGGCTTTGGCCTATCTGAGCCTCCACTCTAAACTGCTGAGTTCCACATCCTCTGGTTCAGCAAAACCAAAAGCTCCTAAGTATTCACCTAGATCAACTGGATGATTAGGGGATCCTCATCCCCTCCACTGGCAGAATTTTTCTCATCTGTTAAATGGAGATCATAATGCCCATTTTGTGTATCTTTGTAAGGCTTTATAAGGATAATATGAGTTAAAGGATAATCTTTTTAAAGGTTAAAATGATGATTCTTACATGAATATATCATTAAAATAATGAAAGAACCACTAAGATGTTATAATCAAGTCAAAGAGCAGATACATACATAAGCAATCCGGAATGCTGAAATTAATCAAATGAGACAGTGCACAGGGTGCTTAGCAAAGGGCATCTATTTAAAAACAATCAACACGTATCTGCACAGCCACATGTACAAACACACTGAGCTGTTCCAGAGGTCTACATACGCAGCTTTGGCCCGGCCTCGTATTAAGTCAGAGGGGAGCTATGGAACTCCTGTGTCCACAAGGGAGTGAAACATCCAACTCCTTCTGGCTTTCCCCATCTTTCTCCCACCTCTCCACCCCAGTTATCCCTAGATCTACTGCCTGCTTGCCCTAGACGTGGTGGTAACCCCAAGGGGCTACAAACTTCTGGTGACAAGAATCTCCTAGGCTAACTAAAATTCTGTCTGCAAGAAAAGGTCTTGGGAATTTTAATTAAGTATCCCTGGGAATTTTTATTGATCAGCCAAGTTAGAGAAAAACTGGAAGGGGCAGCCTCTTGGAGGCTGGCAGTAAGAGGGGAGTCTGTACAAGAGGACAGACCATAAAAGCTCCTGGCTGAAGGCAGCTATACATTTAACCAAGGCAAACAAATAAAACTGAGATTGGGGCCAAGTGAAATTCTATTCATCTCAAACTCTTGTGAGGGCACACTCTCGAGGCTGAAGGGGAGAATCACCCCAAAAGCACAAAAAATCCATGATCCTATAGCTCACATGATGAACTGAACCCATAGAATCAGGTACTTTTTGGTGCAATCGGACACTACGAGCTAAATCAATAATAAAACAAACATTGTCCTTTGTCAGTTTTTATTTCTTTTAATCATTGTGATTTTCAACACCAAAACATACAACTTAAACACTTTACTTTCCCTCCAATAATTTCATTTGACACTGATTTCTTTGTAGAAACCCCATCCCGAAGAACAATTCTTTAATGGGAAATTGTGGGAGGAATTGGTTAAGTCTGAAGTGTAAACATAAGCTTCCATTTTGAGCAAAAATCTCAGAAGGTTCTATTATAAACACAAACATCCGTCTCGAAAAGAGACAGGATTTCTTCACTTTCACTCCCAGAAACCATGTAAAAGTTTCAAATCAGATTCCCCGCATTAACAACAAAAGTTGTCCTTTAGCAAATCGGAAAATCCACGCAAATATTGCTTACTGATTTTACTGCAAGGACACTAGGGAAGATCACTGCACATTGTTTCAATAATAGACGGAGCTAGAAGGGCTGAAGAAATTAGTGCCTTTTAAAGAAAGAAAACATAATGTTGAAAGAACTCAGTATTAAGCATCTTTGTAAAGAGATAAGATGTTAAATACTTTCTGAAAGCCTACTGTGTGCACAGAACTGAACTGTCTACCAAAATTTGAGACGTGGGTTCTGCCCTTGGTAGTTGCAATCCTTTTTGAAGACAAACGTTAGACTTTGCTAATTATCAGCCCCTTTACTATGTATAAACTCTGAGCTTGGACGATTTAACTTCCTTGAGTCCTGTGTGCAACACAGAGAGAACAGAACATCCCCATCATCAGTGTTACCATGGTGAGCAAAGGGGATAATGCATCTTGTAAATGACCAAGCCCCTCCAGAATGCTCAACAGTCTCTGTTCAATTATTCTGCACAGATGTGAAATCAATGACATTATTTGTATAAGAAGGAGCTGGGCCAGATTGCCTTGTGCTGGGTCAAGGAAAACCTGGCCCTACTGATTAAGCTATTGCAGAGATTACAAAGAAAGGAAATTTGAATCTTAAAAAGCATGGATAAACGATGCTAGCTAGCCCAGGTTAGTATTTATACGGCATTTGTCAGAAACTCTGACTCCTCATGACAATATGAAACAAGTCAGCCACGAAGGAATTTCCCATCCTAATGGTATTTTTTCACTTGTAAACCTTCCTAAGTTAACAGAGTCCTCGCAGTGAAATCAAACACACTCATCTTTCTACACAGGAAAATGAGAAGGGTTTTTGAAACTCTTAGTTTCCCTGCTATACAACAGATGTGTTTAATGGATCGTTCTCAAAGTACTACTGTAAGGTAGGTTTCCCCAGAAGGATTTCATTAATGTTACTGGATCAGAGAAATCAGTAGCAACTTTAAAGACAGGATCCTTCTCAGCTGAGGCAACTATAATACGTAACACTGTTCCTGACACCCTGATTCTATATGTGGAGCCCCTTTGTGCATCCCATCAGAGACATTCTTTGAATTTTACAGTGACTCATAAAAATGTCAGTAGTGATTATTCCAGACCACTGTGGTAAAACAGCTCTTTAATGTTATATGCTTACCCATAAAGAATTTGAAACAAAAGAGGCATTGTTTTAAGAATACATCAGAATCTTTCTAAAGAGACTGCCAGGAGACAAACCATCAGCTTTTCCCCAGTGCCAAATTAATATTTTCTTCAACAGGTTTCCAAAGAAATGAGGTCAATGCAGTGGAAAAAGAATGAGAGACCTACAGTGGAGTATTTAGAAAAAGACTAATTTGAAGAAATAAACAATGTAGATTGGTACGGTGGTGGTGGTATTTTAAACATGCTCTTGGGAAAAAACACAAACTGGACATTTAGTGAGTCTCCTTTCCATGCCAAATTCCAGATCCCACTCTAGAGAAAAGTACTAAAAATGTTGGCTCATCTCTCCATAACTTATTCCCTGAATGTATGTAAGTGTGAGTATTCACAGCATATATGCCTGTGTATGTATATGCATATTATATATCCTTATTTTGTGTTTTTTTCACTTAAATATAGATGTTAAAGACCTTTTACATAAAGTGCTAGATAGGCAATTATATTTTTTAAAAGCTGCAGGATACAAATGATATTTAACTTCTAAATCAGTGGCTCTCAGCTCTGACTGAAAGCTAGAATCACATAGGACCATTTAAAAAATATTGATGTTAGAGACCAACCCCAGATCAGGTATCTGCATTTTTAAAAGCTCCCTAGCGCTAACATGTATCCATTGCTTGAGTGACAAGATGATAAGCACTGAATGTCTTCAACATGCTTCACACCATGCAACCATATGCAGGGAGAAGTCTTTTGTTTGTAGCAATCCATATTCATTGCAGAAAAGTTAAGAACACAGAAGAGAGAGAAGTTCAGGAACGCTTGCACCCAAATGAGTCGGTAATAAACACCACCTCCTAGACCAACAAAGCAAAAATCGCATACAAACCTCCCTAAGAATAAGAACCTTGGGAAAACCAGGCTTCTTCAGAGGATGTTACTAGAAGGCTCTCCCCTCCTTAATTCAAAGTCCTCCTCAATTCAAGCTGAATGTCCTCTGGAATTCATTCAAAAGGGCATTTATGGAGCTGCCACTACGTGCTACATACTAAGGGCGCTGAAAAAGGAGGTCGTCCCTGCACTTCAGAAGGTCACTGCCCCATGCAGTGGTTGTCAGAGTGTACTTCTGCCTGATAAGGCCTCTCTTCAAATGCAATCTAAATGGATGATCGATACCTAAGCTTTGCAGGGCAGAGCTGCTCTGACTGAGGTGGCAAACAAGATTAGAGCCAGATTCCTGCAGGCCTACCCTACAGGCAGCAGCCAGGCATTCAGGTCCCACCAAAGAACCCCTCACTGTACGGAAGAGCACAGCAGAAGACACTCTAGCCTAGTAAATTAATGGCTCTCACACCAAACGCCAGATTAAACTACAGTTTACACTAGTACTTTCCAAGGGGGGTATGTTCAAAAGGACCCACAGTGGCCCAAGAGAAAATATTTAAATGCTCTATATATTTATTTTCATAGACTCTAAAAGAGCCTATTTTGTGGATTTATAATGTAAATAATTCATGGGTAGAACAGTTCTTTCGTACAATCTGTAATTATACACGTTACGCTGAAGGGTGTGAAACCACCCTTTTTGTAAACAAAAATTGACAGAACATCAGTATTTCATACGGTTCATTCTAATATGTATAATTAAAAACTGTGCGCAGGTTCATATGCTTCACCTGGTGTAGCAGGGCTGCTCACACTCAGCACTACTGGCATCGGAGGGGTACTGACAATTCTTTGTTTGGGGGGATGTCCTAGGCACTTAGTACTTTTGGCAGCATCCCTGGCCTCTACCTACTAGATCTCATGATAACCACCAACCCCCAGGTGTAACAAACAAAATGTCTCCAGACATTATCCGTTGTTCCCCAGAGAGGTAAAAATCACCTCCCTTGAGACCCCGCCATGTACTGAGTGCATGGGCTGCCTTTTCGCTTTTTTTTTTTAAACTAATGATCAAAATAGTGTGGACACCCTGGCCAAGAGAACAGGGGTGGTTGGCATTAACACTTATAATAATGCCAAGATGCTAACCCAATATGGACATTTTCACAAGCCTCACATTTGGGCCATCTGGGAAAGATAAGACAGGTCCATCATCACCACGGATGTTGTGATCTACCCACTGAGGGGCCTCACGAGAGCGCCGGCTACATACAGCGGGCATGTGCAAGGACCCACTCACGGGGGGATGCAGACACAGCTGCTCTCCCAAGCTAAACTGGGGGCAGACAACAAAGGTGAGAGAGAACATCCGGGAAAAACCGAAAACAACAGTCACAGAGAGGCCAGCCCAGCGTGCAGTCGTCAGTCCTGCTCTTCTCAAGGAAAGGCTTTCAGGAGGCTCTGACAGCTGGATCACAGAGTGTTCTCAAACGCAGCCTAGTCATAAACACGAGGGGAGATTCAATCAGGAGCCAAACGGCTGTCTTCCCAGATGCACACGGTCGAAGAGGCTGTTATTCACAAACTGATCTTCCATGTGCCACCCCCACCAATTGACGGAGGCTTAATCAGTATCGATGATTTTTTAAATTTATTTATTTATTTTTAACGGAGGCACTGGGGATTGAACCCATGACCTCATGCATGCTAAGCACACACTCTAACACTGTGCTATACTCTCCCCCCAATATTATTTATTTTTGAAAATTGATTGGTGATACAGTGGCTCATGTGTACCCACTCCAGGGTACAGACAGTGCTGAACTCACGTCTCTCCATCAAAAACAAAAATAGCAAATATGCTCATTTACTCATGCGGTCTGAAGGCACACTCGTTTTTAAAGGGAAGAAAAAAAATATTCCTTAAAAACATCAGTTAAACAGCTTTGAATCATGAATCAATTCACCTTGGTTCCCATTAAGCATTGGCACATTTAAGACGGGACAATATAGACATCAGACATCATCACCATCTACACACAAACACCAGCTTTGTTATATTTTGCACAATTTACAAATACATAAAGAAACATGACAGACATTTTTGAAGTACTTACTTAAAAGCCTCCGAATTCACTTTCTTTCTCAACCATTAATATTTTGGGGTATGTGTGGGAGGGAGTGTGGGAAGGAGGGAATTCTCAAAAGGATCCGAATAAAAGCTGGCATTAAATAGGAGTTGGGATTCCCCCAGCCCACCTCCTGCCTCTGAAGGGAAAGAAAAGAAAACTTGAGTCACAAGAAAGCCTGCCCCCGGCCTGACCCCTCGGGGCAGGCCAACCTTTGCCAGAACCCTGCATCCAGCCCCCTGGTCCTGAGACAGAAGCCAACCTCAGTGCCCAGATAGTGGCTTCTTTTGGGTAGACCTTCCAAAGATGATGACTTAACAGGAGATGTCAGGATCCTCCTAAAGTCAGGTCATGAAAATAGCTCATAAAAAGCCATTAAAATATTCCTTTGTTCTCTTAAAAAAATTTTTTTAGCTCCCAGAGTTCCACTTATTGAAGCAAGATTATGACTATTCTATGTAAGTGAATAATCAAGAAACTATACTTTAATTATAACTAACTTTAACTAGGACTTACTGCAGGTCAGGTATTGTTTTAAATACCTCAAGTATATGAATTTCACTAATTCTCACCAAAAAAAAAAACAACTCTGAGGAAGGTGCAATTTTTATCCCCATTTTATAGATAAGAAAACTAGGGCAGAGGGTCTAACTCAGGTAAGACAAATGAGGCGCGTGGGGCACAGATGCACAGCTCTGAGCGTGAGCTCCTCGTAGAATGTTGAGCCCAAGGTGCCTTGTGGACCTCGGCCGAGAACCAGTCCTTCTAAGGAAGCTGCAGAGGCACACAGCCTGGGAGTGCTGGGCCCAGGTTTGCACCCCCAGGGTCTCCTGCACATCCCGAAACTGAAGGTCGTCATGAGAGGAAGCACAGGGTGCTGGAGTTAGTAGGAAGTGAGTTAACACCTTAGCTCCACTATTTACCAGCTGTAAACCTTAATCTCTCTGAGCCAGATGTAACTCCTGTGAAAAAACATGGTAACAGCTACCGAAGCGCTGGCTCCTAGTGACTGAGCTTGACAACAGGTTAGTGGAAGGCCTGGCACGCACTTGTACGCAATACATACTACGCTCCACCCTGTCTTACCCACTAGAGCTCTTCATTGAATATTTTAATGGCAACTTTTAAAAATTCTATTTTACACTGATCCAAATGGAACTTCGTTCTTGTTTACTTAGAACCAAGGAGAATATAATTATTGAACAATGCCAAAAAGAGGTCTCGTCAGGAGCTAACGGAGAATAGAAGGCCATTTGCTCAAACATGAGGTTTTTGGACTTTGAGTGTCTGCTCTTTGGTTTATTTTTGGGCTCCATGACTGGAAATTCAATTATGCCCATCAGTAGGAGGCTGTTTAAACAGATTATGGGACAATCATATGATGAGTTACTACACAGCTGCACACAAAGAACCAGGAGCACTCGATGTACTGAAATGGAAAGACTGACACAATATACTCCTTAGGTGAAAAAAAAAACCAAACAAACAAGGTACAGAGCAGTGAATGCTAGCATTTTACTTAAAAAGGAGGTTCAGTATGTGCACATTTTTATATGTATGCCCGTGTACACATAAATATCTCTGGAAAGATACACAATTTACTAAGGAAAAAAATCACTGGCTGTGGACCAGAAGAGGTGAGCTCATGTAAGTAAATGTGACATCTATCTGGGCGCTCAGAAGTCGTCACGGCAGTGTTTGAGATCAGTGCCGCGGTGCAAGAACCCGCCACAGCGGGAGCCTGTTAGAAAAGCAGGTCCTTGGTCACATCCCAGACCTAGTGGAGAAAAATCCCTGGGGGTGCGGCCAGGAAGCTGTTTGCAGAAGCCCTCCAGGTGACGCTAACGCTCCCTCGGCAGCACAGATCTAGAACCACTGACTCACAAACACTGTGCAGACTGGCCATGGACACTCCTGGAGAGTTTATTTACAACAGGTTCCTGGGCCCCATCCTAGACTGTATAATAATATCAAGGATGAAACACAGGAATGTGAATTGTTTAAAAGCCTGACTGTGACACACAGCCAGAGTCCAAGACTCACTTCCTAAAACCAGAGTCTACTGTGATAATGCAAATGTTCTACTGAGATAAATCTGCATATGGCAGTCAAAAGGGACCCAGTCCCATGCCTGCTTCTCAGTTAGTTAGGCTTCTCAGTTGAGTATATGCATGGTAATAATTCTCTTTGTACAACAGATCTCAAACTTTAGCATGAATCAGAATGAGCTGGAGGGCTTATTTAAACACAGACTGCATCATCCCCTGTAGAGTTTCTGATTCAGTACAATGGAGGAGATGGCCTGATAATCTGCATGTCTAACAAGTTCCAAGTGACACTGCTGCTGCTGCTACTGTAGGTCCATGAGCTTCTAGCCCACTGGTTCTCAATCGAGATGCTACATGCTGCCAAATATGGTCACCACATATAATTTTTGCTCTAACTGAAGATGCAACATTTTACAGGTATAGCTGTGAGGAGAACTTTGAGCTAAGCAGGTTGTGCTGTGCAATTTGAATAGGGTACACCTGAGAAGGGTAATTAATAAGAGGTGTGGCTCTATGTTTAACAGCTACAGGAGTATGTAAGAAAGCTGGGTCAGGGCTGCAAACAGGTTTTTGCAACCAGCAGATCATAAAATAAAAAGTGTAACATGTAGGAATGCAATTTAATCTCTTAAGATGTTCTTCCAACATTTCTTGCACGTGACATTGATCTTTGAATGCTGAAGGCTGAGAAGCACTGCTCTCATCAGCACAGCTCCTGCCCACCTTGTCCAATGACCTTGCTGCCCAATCTGGACTGGGCTATGAGACCAAATGAAGATGGCACCCTCAGTCACACAGGGGCTCCCTGGCTATGTAAATGAAGGAGTAACTAAGAGCGATCAAATGTACTAAGACTCACAACTTTAGAGCTGGACTGGGTCTGTGTGATCCAGGAAAACCTCACCATTTTGTGGTAAGTAAGAGCAAAACTGACTCCATATTAGGTCTATTCCTTTAGCTCTAACCCTGTGCTCTGTTTCCTGTGCTTAGTCGTGCTGGTTCTGCATCGTTTGTAAAAGAATGTTCCCTATAGACTAAAAAATATACAAGATAGCTCATTTTCAAGGCTCTGACCTTTAAGGGTCACTTTCCCATTCATTTAGAGATAAAAAGTTGCAGAACAGAGGATAACATGTCTTGTTGGAGGTTTATAGGAACATCATGACCTGACCTGTGTGGACAGCTGTAAGAACTAAGGATTCTGGACGCCAAAAAGTTTGCACCAACCAATCACACCTCTTTCCCTTTGTA